TACCACTTACTTCACTCAGTTCTAAGGAAAAAAAATGCTAACAACTTTCCCCTAGTCCATAAAATTATTTTGGCAGTGGGAAAAGTACAGATTCTGGCGCATTTTCTTTAGCATTTCCAAAACCAATTCACTAATTTTTAATAATTGCTTCCTTTGAGCTGGGGTTACTGACCTAGGTTAAGCTATTTCATTTCAAAGTAGGATTTAATTTTAAAAGACTTTTTGCTTGTTAGGGGGTACCCCTTTACCTGAGAAAAATTGGTCAACTGTGTGCTCTGCTGGAATTCTGCTGGAGAGATTATCCCAGCAAGCGGGTGGCCGGGGGTGGGGAGGGAACAAATCATTTTTGTAAAATTGAAATTAGTTCATTTCAATGGATAGCTTTTTATTCAATTTTTAAAATGTAAGTAGCTATTTTTAAAAAGAAAAAAAGAAAGGCTAAATTGCACGATGAATCCAATGAAATATTGCCAAGAGGATGAAAGCAGACAACTGTGAGCCATGTGGGGGATCCTTTCCATAGCTTGCTTTTATACCTCTCTTCTGTTCACATTAAAGCAAGTCCCAAAGATCAAATGATCCCAGGATACAAGCTGAAGGCAAGGGTACAAGTTGTTTACTTCATCTCTGCCAGCAGCCTGCTCACCATGAGGCTAGGAAGCAAGCACAGAGACCAGAAGAATAATCCCATTTTCACCCTCCCAGGTCTCCATCAGGAGCCACCAGGGAGCAGTAGATGACTAAGTCACTCATCTAGCTGCTTTCACTTAGATACTGGCTTGAAAATGAATGGGAAAGCTCATAGGAAGGGGTGGGGGCAGAGGAGAAATCATGATGGCACCAGTAGTTCACATTTGTGTGGTTTCATGATTCACAAAGTGCTTCCCATACATGCCTGCATTTGATCTTGCCCTTTAGTGAGCAGACAGTACATCTTTGGTCCCATCCTACAGAAGAGCAATCCCAAACCCAGAAATGAATTTGTTCCTTATCATGGAGTTTGTTCAGAGCATGGGCTTTGAAGGCAAATGCCCTGGTTTGAATCCTGGCTTTGTTGCTTGCAAGCTAGGTGACCCTGAGTAGTTACTTCACCTTTCTTTGACCTGTTTCCTCATCTGTAAAGCAGAGCTAAGAATAGTATGCATCTCAAAGGCTGTTGTAGAGACCAGATGATTGGATGCTTATCAAGGACTAGAAACTCCTTTGGCACTTGGTATTTTGTAAACACTACCATTGCATTTGTAAAATGTTTTATGGCTCACAAGATACATCCCGTTCAACTGTATTTATTAAGCATTAGAGACAAACACTGTGTCAGATGATGGGGATGCTAGAATAAAGCACTCGTGACCCCAGCCATCCTGCAAGTCACAGATGAGTATAAGGAACAGCACAGAAAAATGGGCTCACTCAGTCTAAAGTTCATTATTTTCAACAATGGAGGTAATTAAACGGATAATTTAGGCCAGCCTAAAAGTGTTAGAGATGGCTCCTTAAAGGAAAATACTTTTTTAATTTTACCATTTCTAAAAACCCTCTGAAGAAGATGGTATTTTGTTCATTCTACGAATGAGTAAATCGAAACTTAGAAAAGGTCAAGGACTTCCCAAGTTCCCTCGGCTAGTGAGTGGCAAAGCCAGGTCTCAGTGACACCAAACTACTTCAAGGATACATTCCCTGTGAATTAAGTCATTGAGATACTAGGCTTTTTTTTTTTTTTTCCTACCCCAACATTTTTCTTTTTCTTCTTCTTTTTTTTTTTTTTTAAAGATTTTAGATATTTATTTGACAGAGAGAGATGAGAGAGAGTGCAAGCAGGGGGAAACAGCAAAGGGAGAGGGAGAAGCAGGCTCCCCACTGAGCAGGGGGACTGATGTGGAGCTCAATCCCAGGACCCTGGAATCATGAACTGAGCCCAAGGCAGATGCCCAACGACTGAGCCACCATCATTTTTCTTTTTAAAAAAGAAACAAAGACAGTCATTTTTTCCTGGATCTCCCCTCCCCCCCCCGAAAAATTTGGCACAATGTCAAATATCTAAACTTCAAAATCTGCGAAGGGTCACAGAGTCCTAGACTGGAAGGGACAATTGTTTATTGGTAGGGATCTGTAAGCACAGAGATAATACATGTTGATTCTTAGTTCTACCACCCACAAGCTCTATGATAATAGGCAAACAATTAATCTCATTGAGTCTGTTTTTCCACTCATAAAATGGCACAATAATAGTTTCCACCTTCTAGAATTAACAGCGTTGGAACACATTATAATTACTTCACAAACATTTGCTACTAACTTTATCTAAAGAAATGCCACTTAATCCATACACTTCACCCCTCTGGTCTGATCACACAAGTCATCTGTGTGTTCTTTTTTGAAAGCCTTCTCCAGAAGGAGACTTTAGAGCTCCACATGTGAAGTGTTTTAATGCTTGACCAATCTCATGACTGGAAATCGAACTCTTCCATACTTGGCTAATGCTTTCATTTAGATATTAACACTCTGCTCTCAGAAAAAATAGAGAATGGCTGATTATGTTTCTTTTCTGGATGAATGAATGACATCTCCACTTTCCCTCGCCCAAACTGTCTCATCCAAGGTACTTCACTTTGCCTTTAGAAGTCTTCTTTCCATCGGTGATGGACGGACTCCTTCCTGTCTTGAGACTGTGTGTGAATATGCAGATAGCTGGTCATAATGTTGTGTGTGTGTTGTGCTCTTTAGTTTCAAAGCACATTCACATACTTACTTTGTTGATCCTAAAACAACTGAGAGAGGTAAGGAGGGCAGGTATGAAGTCCACATTAAGGATGAGGAAAAGTAAAGAATAGCAAGAGCTACCATGGCACAATTATGTTCCATATCTTTAATGCATTTTATCTTATTAAACTTCTTACAAGGGCCCTCCTTTTGTAGGTGTTATTAGTTCAATTTGCAGGAGGGAAAAATGAGACTCAGAAAAGGGTGTCACATACCCAACTTTCCCCAGATAACGAGTGGTCAAGCTGAGAAAGGCCATATCTGTCCTACTTCAAAGCCAATAAGCTTGATCACTGACTTTTGAAGGTTTGCTCAGTCCATCAGTGACTGACATAATGTGAAAATCCAGGGCTCCTGATTTACAGTCCAGGACATTTCTCTTTCCTTTTTTTTTCTTTTGTAAGATTTATTTATTTTAGCGAGAGCATTTAAGTAGGGGGGAGCAAGTGAGGGGTCAGGGAGAGAGAGAGAGAGAGAGAATCCTAAGCAGACTCCCCAGTGAGCACAGAGCCAACTCGGGGCTTAATCCTATGACCCTGAGATCTTGACCTGAGCTGAAATCAAGAGTTGGATGCTTAATGGACGGAGTCACCCAGGTGCCCCCAGGACACTTTCATTAAGGTGCTCATTCAGTTCTTGACTGGGTAGGTGCTAGGGCTAGAACCATCTATGACCAAGACAGTCACTGCTCACACAGAACTGCTTTGCATCCCCATTCTTAGCTGTCTTCTGTTCTTAGCTTCCTGGTTTATGCCTACAATTTGGGGGCTCTCAAGCATGCAGTCAGAGAGTAGTAATTTACAAAGGATAAATTATCATTTATATATTTTTATGTATTTAGATAATTATATAAAAATATATATTTATATTCTTTATATATGTATCACACATCAATATACATGTTTATACATGTTCATGCTTCTAGAACTGGCCAAATTCTCTAGCAAAAATAAAGATTTGCCATACCAGATTTTTATATATATATATTTTATATATATATTTATATATGTGTGTGTATATGCATACACACATATAATGTATATGAATATACATGTATACACACAATAGAATATTACTCAGCCATAAAAAAAGAATGAGATCTTACCGTTTGCAAAAGCATGGATGGACCTAGAGTATATTATGTTAAATAAAATAAGCCAGACAAAGACAAATACCATATAATTTTGCTTCTATGTAGAGTCTAAAAAACAAAATAAATGAACAAATAAACAAATAGTAGAAACAGATGCATAAATACAGAGAACTTGCTGGTGGTTGCCAGAGGGGAGGGAAATAGGGAGATGGGCAAAATGGGTGAAGGGATTTAAGAGGTACAGACTTAAAGTTATGAAATGAATAAATCATAGAGATGAAAGACATAGCATAGGGAATATAGTCCATGCTATTTTAATGGCGTTGTATGATGTCAGATGGTGGTTATACAATCAATAGACTTGTCAGATCAGTATGTCGTACACCTGAAACTAATGTAATATTGTCAACTACACTTCAATTAAAAAAAAGAAGATTTGTCAAACCAAATAAAGTTCTCAGGAAATCGCCAGCAAAGATATGCCTTTAAACATAAAGTTAGTAGGTTTGAAAATTGGGAATTTCTTGCAGAAAATTTGAAACTGCCCCCCACCCCCACCTCATACACTGAGGGCAAGGGGAGACAAGGGAAGAGGCAGACCAATCCAGATTGGTGGGTGGTAGTGTTAATAAGTAAGGGAAGTTACAGATGAGGCTTGTCTTCAGTGGTGGTAGGACAAGGTCAGCACACTTGCCTGCCAGAGTCTCAAAAGTTCATATAGAGCCTATCAGTATTTGGTCACATATACCAGCCAGATGTCTCAACAACACTTCACTCTCTCAAGGCTGCATCATTGAAATGGCTCCTACTATGGGAATGGTGGACAGCTCGTATGTTTCAAGAGAGGGGATGGGGTGAAGAGCTTTTGATCGATTGCCCAGGTATAGTTCACAGGTCAATGGGCAGTCACATCATCTCAATGACCTCCCCCAACAATGTGGAGAAAAGTGAATGACAAAAGATACTGGGAGTGTCCTCTCTTTCCCTGAGTGTCCAGTCCATGGGAGCCTGTATACACATAGTCACATCGGAGTTATAAGGCCTGGGCTGAGGAATGGATTCCAACCATGTTCACCACCATATCCTGGGGAGGATGTGCTGTGTTATTATTTGAGCTGCTCCACTCTTTCATTTTCCATTTCAAAAGGAGATGATGGTGAAAAGGGAGATCCAGGAGAGGAGGGAAAACATGGCAAAGTGGGACGCATGGGGCCAAAAGGTAAGTGCAATGACATGAATTTGATGTTCTAGTATTAAAATTACTTTCCTCTCCTGGCCTTGCCCTGGAAATTAGCAGCTTTCATAACACTCTGTGCTCCAAAGGTGAATGAAATCTATTTCAGACATGAATTTACTTGCCACCAAAGAGCTCCTATGACATTGTCCCCAAGACTCAATTCATTTCTCAAGCTTCCTCCTTAGGGTGGGCAGGAGTGGGACACTCCAAGAACTCTAGGCAGTAGCAGTCTCTAGAGACATCTAAGAGATGGTGAGTTTTAGAAACACGTTGGGTTGATAGCTGTCTCTTCTCAGAAGCCACTGCTAAGCAACTCATTTTGGCTCGCCTAGAGTGTAAGGAGAACAATAAGGAGGGACAGAAAGAAGTTGTCTGATCCCTTGACTTATTCACCTAGTTCCAAAATCTGTCAGCAAATGGCGGGGCGTGGGAAGAGCAGAGCAAAGATGGGAATGACACAAAGGCTGTTGTGATGTTTAAGTGTGTGTCTTCCAAGCACTGGACATATTTCCTGCCAGCTACTACAAGGTGGTAGCCCTAGACCACTGATTTCAAAATCTTTAGTAGTTATAGAGAAAAAAAAAAAAAAAAAGACTCACAGGTCTTTGTGACCTCAATCTGAAAACTGCTGATTTAAACTCTTCTTATTCAATAAATATGTACAATATTCTATAATTTTATACAATCAGTTATAAAATTATTATCACAGAGGTACAGCTCTATAACCAGTGAATGTTTTTTTAGGTCATCATAGAAAAAAACAAAATCGATAACTATTTTGGAGGAACTCAGTGATCCCTGATTATATATATATTTTATAAAAACTTGGTGGGACAATATCTGATGTTCCTTTGATCACTAGGTTTTATGACATGTTCCCTTCCCTTTTTAAAAATGGCTAAGATAGTCAAATTTTAGGGAGGAAACAGACTCCCAGAATGAAACCAAAATAGATCTATAGAGGAACAGAATTAGAAAAAAATGCAAGAATTCTTCCACTCAGCCCTTTATTTGACCTTTAGATTAAACATTCTCTGCTATGGACCTTTTAGAAATACTGTGTTGGTAAGCATTTCAATATCACTAGGTCCAGGATTTTCATACTTATCCACATTTAGTTTTAATACATACACTATCATGTGATTAAAGTAGATAAGGAAGCCTAGGATATATGTCACATGCCACAGATAGAAGAATGCACATTTTGGTATTTCCTTCAAGTGAATATCATGCATTAGCCACATCTTCAAAGGGAATATAAACCTTAGGATATAAAGATGACATGCTTTGGGGTGCCTGGGTGGCTCAGTGGGTTAAGCCTCTGCCTTTGGCTCAGGTCATGATCCTAGGGTCCTGGAATCGAGCCCCGCATCGGGCTCTCTGCTCGGTGGGGAGTCTGCTTCCCTTCCTTTCTCTCTGCCTGCCTCTCTGCCTACTTGTGATCTCTGTCTGTCAAATAAATCAATAAGATCTTTAAAAAAAAATGACATGCTTTGCTTTTCAGGAATTAAGGGGGAGCTGGGTGATGCAGGAGACCAGGGCAACATTGGCAAGACTGGGCCCATTGGTAAGAAGGGTAAGTTGCATTTTCCTTTTCTCCAGTGGCAATTTGAAGCAAATCACGCATACCTTGATATATTCTGAAAGGTTCTGTATCATGAAAATGATCCTTTTTCTTTCTTGTAATATAGGAGTTCTTCTCTTTCTTTGTGTCTTAGCTGTTCCTTTCATACATAAACAATGTGTCTAAAAAAATAAATAAAGACCTTGGAAAAGATTAAACAGAAATTCAGGTACAGAATCAAACGTAAAGTTTTGGTACTTTCTGTATTGAACTATGTCCTAGAATCTGCTGGTTGTAATCCTTGATATAACTAAAATGGGTATCATGACCATGAAGTGTGTTCAGTAGTAGAAAACAATTATTAAAACTTAAGGTAGCAAGTCAATTATCATATGGTTTCACTTATTTGTGGAGCATAAGAAATAACATGGAGGACATGGGAAGATGGAGAGGAGAAGGGAGTTGGGGGAAATTGGAGGGGGAGACGAACGATGAGAGACTGTGGACTCTGAGAAACAATCTGAGGGTTTTGAAGGGGTGGGGGGTAGGAGGTTGGGTAAGCTTGGTGGTGCGTATTATGGAGGGCATGTATTGCATGGAGGACTGGGTGTGGTGCATAAACAATGAATTCTGGTTCAACGAAAAGAAATTAAAAAATTTAAAAAATTTAAAAAAACCTCAAGTTAGCAAAGGACAGTAGAAATTTCCTTCCACCTCCCTCTCTCTCTCTCTCTCTCTATCCTTACTTCCTCTTTCTTTCTTTCTTCCTCCTTTCCCCCTTCTTCTTCCTTCCTTTTTTCCTTTTAAAGATTTTACTTATTTGAGAGAGAGAGAAAGAGAGAGCAGGAAGGAGGGGCAGAGGGAGAGAAAGAGTCTCAAGCAGATACCCCGCTGAGCACGGAGCCCAACCTGGGGCTCGATCTTATGACCCAGAGACCATGACCTGAGTTGAAATCTAGAGCCATACACTCAACTGACTGAGCCGCTCCAGCATCCCAGTGTAATTGTCTTCTTTAACTGAGTGAAATAATAATGATTCTGCATCTGGGATTTAGTAACAGATTAGAAACTCTAAGTATATGTATTCATACTCTTGTATTCTGTCCTGTCCTAATCCTACATAAAACGACTGCTTTCCTGTTATAAAACAGAGGTGGCCTCCTCTTTATTATCCAAGCACTCCTTCATCTCATCTTCCCATGAGCCCTCACAATGATAGCAGTTTCCAGCGGCCCCTGATGGTCAGCAGTCCATACTGGTGTTTCTCCACTTAGTTTAAAGGTACAAAACCAAATGAGAATCACAATTTTATCACAAGGAGCTCATAGACTACTTATGAAGCTAGGATACAGGACTTTCTCAGAAAGAATTAGAATACGGAGTAACTATATAACTACTATAGGAACCATGTGGGAGAGTAAGCCTGGATTGATAATAAGACCTCAGCGAGGTTTTGAAGAACAGTGACATGTTTATGGAAATGGGAGGAAAGGCCTTTGAGGGGTGGCAAAAGATACTTGTGCAAACGTACAGAACTGAGGAAACTCAGTGCCACAGGTAACAGAATTCTGCAGCCTTGATGGGTACCCTGAAGCCTTCCTTCCACATATGCCTGAGCAACTACTTGATCAGTTGTGGCCTCCCCGTCACGTATGGTGTGTTCTTGGGCAGGCGAATTGGTGCAGGGTAAGCTGACGCTATGGTTCCTCTCCTCGTCCCGTAGCTTAATATCTCCTCTCCCCCTGTCCTTTTCCAACTCATACCTTTGAGAATTTTCCTTCTGCCTGCATTTGAGGGCAGGGACAGAGTGTAGTAGTGCTGTAAAGAATTTGCTATACCTATTACTGATTCAATGGCCGGCACTGTATGTTCACTTGTGATTGAAATTCTCACAGCTGGGGATGAGCTAGAAGGACTCCTCATAATGATGACTCTTTCTGTAATATGGATTTTGGGTGGTTTTACCATGAAGCTAATGAAGCTTTGGCTTCAGAGCCTGGCACTTACTTGGGCCCTTCCTAAGACCCTAACTGGAGCCTTATCAATGCACATGGCCATATGTCTTGGCAGAGTTTGTAAAGTAAAGCTCAACAGGTTAAAAGAATATCTCTCAACATTAAAAAAAAAAGAAAGAAAGAAAGAAAAGAAACTATTTCCTCCTTAACCAGCCTTTTTAGACATTTTTTTCTAATTGCCCTCCCCTATGAAATTTTAATACCACCCATGGACTATAAATCTATTGTGCATTGTGTGTATATTTTTGCTTTATGTATAAAAGAGTGTAAGATTTTCCACCCCCTAGAACCGACTTTTATATCCTTGAGGTGATAGCGTCCTCATTGAGAACACACAGCTTAACATTACTGTCTCCTTCTGCTCCAGGTTCCCTACGTCAGACTTCTCTTTGTATCACCTGGTTATGGAAGTGGACACAAATATTTTGGGAGATCACCAGGAGGAACTTGAGTGGGGGAAACATTTAGTTTGGACTTCATGGGACAGGCTTACATCGTTTGCAGTTACTTCCGTGTATAGTCACTGCTGATAATTTCAGTCTAGGACTAGCTTCCAAGAATACTCTTACCACTTACTGTGCAGATCTATCCAAAGTCATGGTGAAAAAGTGCAGGGGCAGAGATCAGATCGTCACAGGAATGTGTCTTGGGGGCATCCAGCACAAGAAATGTGTGAGTTGTGGAAAAGAAACAATGTTTGAAATGTACAGGGTCAGAGCTAGCTAAATCCACAGCTCATATATGGAAAGACCTTAGAGAGATATTCTCAAATTTGACAATATTCTTAATTTACATAAATCATCAATGCTAAGGTGTAAAGGTGAAAGAATTTTCTTATACCATTAATAAAACAAAATTCAGATTTCTGTGCATAAGCTATGAGAAATTCACTTGCATTAATCCTTCTGCTATGAATGACTACCTGAGTCCAAAAAAAAAAAGACAAGACAAAACAAAAAAACAGATACAAATTTGAAGGCACAGGGGAGCTACCAAATTGAATAGGACTTTAGGGGCCTGATCTGGAGGAGAGGAGAACCACACCAGGTGAGCTATGCATTCTGTACTATTATTCCTTTCAAGTCATTCACCAATTTATAAGCAAGGCAGCAGTATGAGACTGAGAAGCTCAAACAGAAAGTTGCTCAAACTGAACTGATATTCAAGGCCTGCCAAAGAAGAATGACCTGGGAAAATGCCACTCTTTTTCACTTCAAAAATAAACATTTTCAGTTAGGACTCCAGAAATTCTGAAAAACATTTAATTAAACATACACCCTTTCATGTTTCAAAACATATTAGCAAGCTAGACATAGAGGGTACCATGTTTAATATGAAAGGGAATATCAACAACAACAACAGGAACTATTAAATATCGTATTCAGTGATGAAATCTTGACCACTTCTCTCCTGAGGTTGGGAATGAGATGAGCACAGCTCTCATCACCAGTTTTCACCAACATCATAGCAGAAGTTCTAAATTGCAAGAACAGGAGGTAAGAATCACAATAAGTGGAAACAAAGAAATAAAAGGATCATTATTTACAGATGATATGAGTGCATATCCAGAAAATACAAATGAATCTACAGATTGACTATTTGTATTCAGATTTTTACAGTTCAGCCATACTAAGATCAATATTTCTATATATCAGAACCATCATAAATGAAATTAAAAAGATGCCATCTATTACAGCATCAAAATTATTAAGTTTCTAGGAATAAAGCTAATAAAGAAAGTGTCTAAGCCTTCTACAACAAACATGATGTAATGATAATGAGAGAATTTAAAGAATGTTTAAGAAAATGAAGGTAAAACTACATTCATAGATTGAAAGGCTCATTATGGTTAAGATGATCAATATGGTTAAGACGATACCCCAATTTATGTGTAGATCAATGTTGTCTCAATCAACATCACAGAAATAGCTCTCTTAGAATTTAATAAGCCAATTCGAAACATATATGGAAATGAAAGGAACCAAGAATACCCAAAGACAACCATAAAAAAAGAAAAACCTGGAAGGATGAATTGAAACATTTGTTTTAAAGCTACCATCATTAAGATAGTGTTAATTTATGCAGAGATAGATAAATACACCAACAAAAGGGAATGGAACATGCGGGAAGACTCTTAAATTTGGTTTATGCAAAGTTGATGTTACTTGCAAAGGGAATTGATGTACTTATCAATAACTAGTGCTAGGTCAATTGCATATTCATGAATGCAGCCAAACATATGCAACCCATAAGTACGAAAAAAGAATTATAGAGGCACAAATTTATTAATTTAAATGTTACGATTCTTCGTGAATTTTGTAATGTGGTGTCTACTTCTAAAATTTAGTGATTTATTTTTATTTCTTGTCTTATAAGCATTCATTTTTATATCACTTTTCGATTTGTAATTGGAATAATCTTTCTTAGAGAGGGCTCTTCAAATTGGGTAAGTTCAGATAAAATGCATCACGGATCTGCCCCTGGCTGTATCAGCTTCCTGTAACAACTGGTTAAGGGATGGGGAGATGTAGCCAGAAAGTGGGATGCTGGACTTTTAAGACTTCTGAGAAGTAGCCGTATTCCATGTGGTTGAGATCCCAAGTATTGCCCTGGAGGTGAGCAGATGTGGAGGGGGAGAAGGAGTCATTCTTGTGAACACGTCCAGAATTCAAGAAGTTCTTTTTTCAGTGAGTTATTCTAGATGGTACACTTGCCGAGATTTAGACGTGTCAGATACCGATGAGGCTCCACCTAAGAGGGTTGGGAGTTCATGATGTTGAGTGAAGTTCTTAAAACTTTCATAGAAAAAGACGAGGTGTCTTGGGAGGGTGGTAGATAACAGAGACAGGAAAAGTAGAGTTCAGTATGATTTTCTGAGCCTCACAGTGGATAAACTTCCACAAATGTTGAAAAAGTAACAGTCTGGAAATGATAGGGTTAACGAACCATGTCTTCTTCAAGCCAATTCCTTATTTGCACACCACTATCATTTTTACTCATTGTCATGGCTTATTAGCTTGTCTTTTCCCTCCTACAGACTGTGAACTTCTGGAGGAAGAAATGAATGAAAGATTTATTGGATCTTTTTGCTTAAATAAATATGAGTCCTATGTGGGGATCCTACTTTTTAATCATTTTATTCTAATGTCTAATATACAGTGGAAACTTTCTAAATGTTTATTGCATTAAGAACAAAAAAGTGAATGATAAAATACATTATTTTATATGATGTAGCTCTATTTCTACCCTTTATTTCTATAAGTACTACTGTCCCTTAACACCAATTTCCACCATTCACTAAGATTTCTTTCTCCTCCAGAGATATGTCATCAAAATTTATGAACATGTCCTGGAATTTCAAAAAAAATTGAGGGTTAGTGCTCTGGCTCACCTGGATTAATTTCATTTTTAATCTGTACTTTGAAATTTATTGTCCTCTTTTTGTCAGTAGCCCTTCTAAATTTTTCACTGACTCAGATTAATCTCAGCTTTCTGGGCTGACCTTAATGTTGTCACTTGCATGGACAAGGTAGCTTTCTGGATGTCAATATTCCATTTTAGGAATAAGAGAGAATGATGTAGTACGGGCAAACTCAATCTCAGAGCAAAATAAATGTTTTTACTTAAGGTCAATAATCCTTTTATAGTGGAAGCATTATGATTTTTTGTTTGTTTGTTTGTTTGTTTGTTTAAATACAACCTCTAATACTTTAGCCTTAAGACAGTTATTACTGACATGTTCCTACTCATGGGCCCAAATAAGTTTTCATGTATGGCTTTAAACCAGAATTCATTTTTGGGAAATAGGCACTATCAGCTCACCTCCTCCATGAACCAGCTAAGTATGTGGCATGCTTTCTGGCTAAGTGTGTGGCAGAAATGAACATTGTTAACCATTCTTTATGACTCAAGCACAGAGTGAATACCAAGAGAAGATGACATGATCTAATTTATCCTCCTTTACAATATTCTGATTCTAAGTACCATTATTTCCACTGAAAAAATGAAGAAATAGAGGTTTAAAGAAGTTGTGTAACTCGTCCACATTTAGCTAGTAAGTGGCAGAACCAGGACTCAAGCCATAGTTTTTCGGACTGCCATGGATGTTCCCTCTACCACAGTGCTTTGACTTTACCATCTGTTAAAAAAGGAATGAAATTCATGTGAAAACATTGGAAAGTAGGGTGCCTGGGTGGCTCAGTGGGTTAAGCCTCTGCCTTTGGCTCAGGTCACCATCTCAGGGGCTTGGGATCGAGTCCCTCATCGGGCTCTCTGCTTAGCAGGGAGCCTGCTTCCTCCTCTCTCTTTGCCTGTCTCTCTGCCTACTTGTGATCTCTGTCTGTCAAATAAATAAATAAAATCTTCAAAAAAAATACTGGAAAGTAGTCACAGTGCTTACACCCTGTCAGACAAAAAAGCCATTTATCAATTCAAAAATCTGTTCTCCACACTATTAGGATCCAGCTGAAGCCTCTTGCTTCAGTGAACGTCTTCTCTACTCTGATGCACAGCCATTTTTGCCAAATAACTGGCAGGCACTTCTTTTATTTACTTCACTCTGTGGTAGGTAAGAGTGATAGTGTCCCATTTCCTTGCTCTCTGATGTGTGCTTTATTTTCCTGAAAACCCCCATTATTTTTATAAAACAAATACTCCCATTAGGCTTCTTTGATGTCCACTATTGTATTTAGCCCAGAACTAAGATCGTAGTAGGACTAGAATCAACTTTCAGCCCACATTGAACTGAAAGGGATCCACATTTAAAGAAAACACACTATTTTCAAAAGATAAAATATTAAACTGTATCATAAAATATTAAACTATATTCAAACATATATATGTTTGAATATAGTTTAATATGTATCATATATTATATATTATAGATATAGAATATATATTATAGATGATATATATATATGATCTTTAAGTCCATATTGTTTCTGGTAGTGACAAGGACTTGGAGTTCCTCTCAAGTACTGATAAGATTTTTTTGAATACTTTGCTTTCATTCATTAAATCATTGGTTCACTCATTTGGGAAACACCATGAACTGGGGAGCCAGAAATGGTTGGGTTTCAATACCAGCACTGCCATTGAATTGCTAGATGTCCTTGAACATAGAAGTTACGTTGCCTCTATGATCCTCCATTCTTTCCATTGCAGAATAAAGATAACAATAATACCTAACTTAGAGGATTTAATTTGATAATATCTATAAATAATATGATAATATCTATGAAGTACCTGGAACTGTACTTATGAAACGTATACCCTTTCTTCCATTAATATATTCTCAAAATCTATTTTTATCTTTAACAAATTACATGTAAGAGAAATTGAGAAATTTGCAGGACACAACTTAGGTGTGAGTAGATCAATCTTCCTCATCAGGATGCATGGCATATTTCCATGCTTTTTTCCACCTTGTGCATTGTCTCCTACCTTGCTCCCATCTTCATCTTCTGAAGTTTTTTAGAACTGAGCTCCAGTGCTATCCTCCCAGGAAAGCCTTCCTTCATCCTTCCAGCAGAAGCACTATGTCATCCACCTTCCTCCCAGAGTCTATTATCTCTGTTCAATGTCTCTCTTACAGTATTTGCTACACTCTACTGTCATGGATTTCACCTTTGTCTTATTTCATTCAAGTGCCAGTTCTGAGGCTTCCTCCCACATGTTTAAATTGCATTCTGGATTTCAAGGACCTCTCCTGTTTGGGGAGCTCATGAATATCCACCATCACTGTAAAGAGAAGTGTCTTTACGGTCAAATTGACTTGGGTCAGTTTGGAAAGGCTTAGCAAATTCTTGGTGCCCTGGCAAGCAGGCTTTCCTGGAAGATCAACAGTCAATATGTGTAGGACTCTTAATGAAAAGCTCTCAGCAGACAGTAATGAAAAGAATGGGTAATGAGCAGGCAAAATGGGCTACCTTACGGGTTTTAGAGTGGCTCCTGTTTTTTTTCCCTTTTGCTGGTGAAGGATGGAGGTAGGCAGAACCTCAATCCTGACACTGTTTTCCCTCAAATTGCCCCCTCATATTGCATGTAACTAATTTCCTCGTTTCACCAAACTCCTACAGAGGTAACCAAGCCCGCATCTTCTTCTAGCCTGGATGACCTTCATCTTATATTCTTTCCTCCCAAATTCTTTCTTTTTCTTTTTCCAGCTCACCATTGAAGCATAAACTCTATTTTACTTCCATCAGGGTCTTCTCTTTTGATTCTCAAGAACTTCAGCCAAACATTTCCTCTTGGAAATCAAAAGCTTTTGCTTTCAATTATTGTGTCTGATGTGGGCTTCAAGGGCTTATTTTGAAGTTGAAAAAAAAAATCAACACTTTTTTCTCTTTGCTTTAATAATCCTGATTCTCTGAGAATTATTTTGTGGATGCCTCTGACTGAATAAGAAAATGACCACATACAAAGAAGAGCAGAAGGGAAAATTATCAAGGTTGATATTTCAGCATAATATATTTGACACAAGTTTATGTTATAGATATTTGCATGCATCACATCTTTTCAAAAAGTGTAAATCCCTTCAAGTCAGTTTAATCTTGTCTCCTTTTATATCCTCTCAAAGTACCAAGCCTTTTTTTATCTTACATAGAGTAAGTAATAAATAGTAAATATTTGAATTAAATTGAAAAGGCACAAAATATGTTTTTGAAAATACAAGGGTAAAGCCATATGGAAGAACTTGGGGGAACAATAAATACAGGCACTGCAACATGCTAATCAATTAATTCAGATATACAAAACAATGGTACTTTGAAAGTTAAAAACATGCAGAGAATTGTATTAGCCTTTCTCAGAAGGCCTTGTTAGTAGGACAGGTGACACAAATTTAGATATTTCTTTGCCCCCCATCTGAATTCTACATTCCATCTAAATAAATTAAGACTTGTTTGACTAATTGTAACTGTGCAGCCAACTCAAAATCAAATTATTTATATAAAACCAAGGAATATTAGTTGGAGATATTGCAAGTAAAATTTAAAAACTCTTTCTTATGCTTTTAGGTATATAAGCTATTGTCTATCAGAAATGATTCCGCCATTTTAGTTAATTGTTCTTTTCACGGCTATTGTTTTTATTCAGGTGACAAAGGGGAAAAGGGTTTGCCTGGGATGCCAGGAGGAAAAGGCAAAGCAGGTATGACACGTTCATTTTTGTTTTAAATTTCTAGCATCATTCCAAATGTATTCATCTTTAAAAATAAATACATTTTTATGAAAAAACAATAGTCCTCTCAATGCTTAACCTTGTTTTACTTGGGCTAGAGGGAAGAAAGAAGGGAACTTTCCGCTCTATCTGCTGGTGACTTTCCGAGCCCTAGGGTAGGGAATGATGGCACATTCCATCCTAGTCATGCTTAGTGGGAGGAAGCAAACCCACACATCAGGAAGCAGCCTTCATTGTCCTAGGCAGAGGGAAATCCACCATTGTCTCAACAGGAGGACTACACCAGCATGCCCTACATTCCACCAGCATCTCAACCAAACAGGGGCCAGCCCTGTTTGCTCACAGCAAACTGGTCCAATCCGGAAAGACCCCATGGATACAGAACATGCCTTCAGTGGTCAGGGAGAGTATCCCTGAGTCCTGAAAGAGTTTTATTTCCAGTGCTACATGCAGGGAAAGAAAGTAGATCTCCCCCTCTCTGGGGGAGATCACAGAGGTATACTGAAGACTAATTCTAAGAACTGTTTTAAATTCTGTATATTTAACTGTGAATGTGAATAAATAAAGCCACAGATTTTCCCCCCCTTTGGCTAATAAAATTCTTTTTGCTTTTCAACTGCCAAAGAAGAAAGCAAAAGGGACTGATTACATGAAGCAGCCATTACATAGAAAAAGAGAATCATTTGAATTTCACATCATTTTCCTTACACTTCTTTCTCTGTCACAATATCAGCAGGTAGTTGAAAAGGTAAATGAGCAGAGAGGGAATGAATGGCAGAAATTAAAATCAGCGTTAATCCACAAATGGGATTGAAATTAGAAGTTGAATCTATTCACAAGACTTCAGCTTAGTCCTTGAAACATTCAAGGATCATTCAAGCTGTATTTGAAATGGATAATCAGAATTATCGTTTGGTTTCATCATGAAAGTTTTCTTTTGTCTTGGAAGAGTTGTATGAGCCAGTAAGCAATATGGTTAGGAGAAGAGAAGACTGACTAGAAATTTGTTTTAAGAAAGCTGTAAAGATTTTATTTTGAGATTGGACGGGCGCATTCTGTGTTTGACAAAAAGGCCAACGGTCCAGAGTATGTGTGCAGGGGTTGGCCATATTTATTCTTCTCTTTACAAATCTGGTTTAGAGCTGTGTTTTAACTCATCCAAAATACTTAAGAAGATATTTTATAAATTCCGGAAGACAATGAAATGTGGAAGCCTTGTTTTAAGTAAAAGACTAAAAGTATAGCCATTCACACAAAGATATGGCCAAGCTAGGAAGAGATAGTAAAGATTGAGAATAGAGCAATTGCCCTTTCCAACAGATCTATATGTGCTCCAACACGGATTCACAGTTTTTGTCATTTAAAAGGCACTGTCTGTGACTGTGGAAGGTACCGGAAAGTTGTCGGACAACTGGATATTAGTGTCGCTCGCCTCAAGACATCTATGAAGTTTGTCAAGAATGGTGAGTATATCCTTTTTGCCTTGTGCCATCTACCAGTTTGCTCTCTTTTGACATTACAATTCCAGTATGTGTAGTGGGAAATACCTAGGGTCAGGCAAAGGCCTACTGAGATAGTGTCACCCCTGTACACGTCCCTCAAAGTGCTAATGATCCGCTCAGACTCCAGGACACTCTAGGACCACTACCTACATATATTCACACATATTGCATTGCCTATGAGTAGAAAAAGATATTTTCTGGAGAGAGGGGAATGGAGAAAAGGGTAGAGTTTGGCAAGACATGCCTTAAGAAGAGAAAGGGACAGGAATTGTCAAAGAGAGCTAGCATCTCAGAAAAAAGAAATAATAGTAAAAACAATAGTTATTTTCTTGAATACTTGAAATAATACGGAGGGTGCGTGTATCACGATTACCCCGAGGCTTAGAGAAATTACCTTGCCCATAGATACAGAGCTAATTAACAGATCAGGGATTCGAATACTGGTTTCACTGATGGCTCTAGCCTCAAAACACCTCAACAGAATGTTGTGTTTCTCTGAATTGTGCAACTTCCCGCATTAGCCATTTCTGTTACCCCTTCTCATTTCCCCATTGTAGTTAGCAGTGAAGCCCTTCAGGTAGGTTATATGCTCTCTTCTGAGACAGGATGAATGAGGAATCTATTGTAGTTGCAGGTGAAATTGGTCTTCTTTTGTTGTACTTTTATTTATTGTAACCCAGCTATGTTTGTTGTACATTATTAGAAACACACATATGTCATCTTGCATTCTTCATCTTGTAATACTCTTAATTATAACTCTGGTTATATTTAGTACTGAGATGCTGTCTCTGACATGACTCAGATTCTCATGAAGAAAACCAGACCCTACAGGTTCCACACAGAGCAGTAGTTCTTGACATTTATTGTGTGGTCACAGATTTCTTGGTAAATTTTGATTTTTAGACCCAAAGAAATATACATAGATCCCCTCAAAACCTAAAACACATTTAACATATTATGAGCTCAGGATGACTCTGGGTCCCCAATTCTGTCCTGAAAATTTTTCAGTAGCTCAGTACTTCGTGTATGTGGAGGGAACGTGGACAAACTCAGTCTATGTACATGTTAATAGCCCAGGAATTCAACCCAAATGGGACAAATTTCTATATTATTCCTATGTCTATTCAATAAGCATTTACCATCCAAAGCACTTTTGCAGGCTCCGAGGCTACAGAGTGGTAATGACATGGTCCTTTTCCTCGAGACATTCATAGTTTAGTATGTGAGGCGTGCAGACCAACAATTAGATTAGAATGTGTTGAGTGATGCAAAAGAGGAAGAGGAGGGAGCTATGGAAACATATGGGAGTGTACACAAGAGCCCCATGCCTGTCCAGAGACATTGGGAAGGCTTTTATAGGAGAAAATACTTCCACTGGGATGTAAATGACAAGTAGGAGTTTTCCAGGTAAAGCAGTGAGAAGACTTTCCAAGTATGAAAGAAGTCATGGAAATGGAAGAGAGAAGGGCTTTTTCTTGGGACGCTAAGTATGGCAAAGCATAAAGTAGGATGGAAAAAGAGTCTGAGAGGCGTTGTGCGGCAAGACATATAGCATATAGCAAACCTTTGTTAAAATAGTCTCCTCTTCACAATTGTGTGAGGAGTTAAGGAGGAAGGACAGGGAAGACAAATGGCAGGACTTTGTTCTCCATTTGATAACTACAAAGGTGATAAAAATATTTAACCAGTGCCTACCTCATACTAGGGACTTGCAAAATAATTGTTGAACATCAAATAAGTGAAGTTAAATCCAGCAATATTATATACTTGCCTTTTCTTCTTTTGAGATGCCTAATCATGCTCATCTTTTCCTCTCTGCAAAGTCATAGCAGGGATTAGGGAAACTGAGGAGAAATTCTACTACATCGTGCAGGAAGAGAAGAACTATAGGGAATCCTTGACCCACTGCCGGATCCGGGGTGGCATGCTGGCCATGCCAAAGGACGAAGCTGCCAACACACTCATCGCTGACTATGTGGCCAAGAGTGGCTTTTTCCGGGTGTTCATTGGGGTGAATGACCTTGAGAAGGAGGGACAGTATGTGTTCACAGACAACACTCCCCTGCAGAACTACAGCAACTGGAGAGAGGGGGAGCCCAGTGACCCCTACGGTCATGAGGACTGTGTGGAAATGCTGAGTTCAGGCAGATGGAATGACACAGAGTGCCATCTTACCATGTACTTTGTCTGTGAGTTTGTCAAGAAGAAAAAGTAACTCTGCTCATGCTACCCATTTGTTACTTCTCTGTGACTGTCATTGCAGTTATTTTTATACATCCTTTTCTTTCTAATTACGCCAAATTCATTCTGACTCAAGACAAGTAGAAAACGCTGAGTTGGGGTTTGGAATCCCCATTGCCATGGTCTTCTTTGATGATTTTGAACATTTTCATACACAGTATATGATCGAGCCAATAGCTCACCAAGTTACATGGATCCACAGAGAGAGTTTGAATTACTAGTTGTGCAGGATGTGGTTGTCTATGTGTCAAATGAAATGTTCTCTTGGCATTCGCTCTGCTGCCTCTCCCTAGACCCTAAAACCACTGTCTATTTAGCCCTGTGGATAATTGGACAGTTGGTTGGTGATGATTAGGCTAACTTGTCCTTGTTCAAAGCCAGACATATGAGAAGGCCTTCTGTTAGGAATGCAGAGATATTGTCTGTCTTTGAAGCCAAGAGCCTCTATTCTTTGACTGGTCTCTCACCATGGCTATAGTCACACTTGAAAGGTCCTCCTGTTTGCACAGATATAAAAGGACTTCAACCCCAAACCTCTGTTTGAGAAACTTCTGGTCTGTGACCCATTCCAGACCATATGGAATCACACAGACAAATTCCGTGCTTCTAATTCATTATGGTTTTCAATGAGGTCTACCAAGGATTTGCCGTGGCCTCTTTCTATAGGCCCACAACTGCATCCCAGGGCTCTAAGTTTTAATTCTGATTTGTGGAAAGGGAAAGATTAGAAATTGAAAGAGAGAGAGAGAGGAGGGGGGAGGATTTTTCCCAAACACTATTATCTATAATCTTCCTGTTAAATTGCCCACTACTACTAATATGGCCCCATTATTCTTTGTCTTGGGTTTAGCCTTATCAATTTTTCTTCCCTTAGGCATGGGGAATGAAGGAAGGAGTTTGTGAAGCTTTCAGAAAACTCTAGAAGCCTCAAGATGCTACCAATGTCAATTCACCATGTTCTCTCCTCCTTGCCTCTAATATATCAGTTATGGTGACATTTCATGGGAGGTCTTTTACTTTCTGTATTCATATGTTATAAAGACCCCATACCAGGGATGCTGTTTGTAGTACTCTGACATCACATGTATGTGGCAGGTGTGGAGTTTGGAACATGCCTCTGACTCACACTTATCAAAATGGTAAAATTCTACATTTTGCTATTTTACATCGTAAACTTGATCTACAATCAAAACTCAAAACACCTTTCATTTCAAATTTGAAAATAATATAATCCAACAGAACTCTAGATTTTCCCCTTAAAAACTGCTGTTCTGGTTATAGTTTGTGACATATGATTACACTGTTTAAAATGCTGGCAAATGGTTAACGAAATAAGAGAAACAGATCAACAACATATGTTCACCTTAAACCATCTGTCCATGATTTCACCCATGACTAACTGGTTATGAGATAAGATTTAATTAGGTTATTTCTGTGGGTTTATCCCAAGCCACAAACTCAGGTCCTACAGGGGCCATAGAAGATGACATAAATAAATCAAATTGAATGGATGGGGATCCTAGTAGTGAACACAACTTATTCTAAAGGAACTAGCTTCCCTCTTCTCCACTCCCACACCAGTCCCCCTCACTGTTACGTTTGCTGTGGAGGACCCAGTATCACTACATTTCAAGAGAAGCCAGAAAGCTGGAACTTGATGATATATATTCATATTTTTAAATATTGGCAACTAGTTAGTTTTCAGCTCAAGTTTTAAGTCACACAAAATAGTCTGCTAGGCAAAAAAGAAGGGGGGGGGAGGATTTTTCATTTCTCATCTCTGGGGAAAAGTTCTGAAGGTTCTAACCATGTCGAATGTCATGAGGATACCGTGACATCAAAGTCGAGGTCTTCAAAAAAATAATTTTTTTGCCCCATGAAATTCATGAGCATTCTCTTAAATAATTAGCATTTAAAATCAATTTTATTCCCCAAAAGTTGAATTTATACTCGACTTTCCAAGGATACACCTGTGTACCTCTCAAGACTGCATAAAGTTTCCAAGGGAAGAAAATTTAAAAAATATATTTACAACCTCACTTCCCAAAGCAATTGACTTCAGTCAATTCAGTGTAATTACAGGAATTTGTTCAATGTTTGCCATTTGTCAGGCTAATAAACTAGTTACACACTCAGATTTTTGAGAATGTGGCCTATGATATTTTGAAGGCAAGTCAGGTTAATAAGAATTACAAAGCAGAACACTATATCAAAGCCAGTAACCTTGGGTGGAAGGCAAGCCAGTCAAGACCATGAGGAACAAGAACCTAGGAATGGTTGGAGGAAAAGAAAGGGATTAGAGGAAAGAAGAGAAGGGATGGACAGCAATCATTGCCTAGAGGCACGTAGCAGTGGGATCCATGTTCTGATCTGTTCTGGGTGGCCAAAGTATGAATATTTAGTGTGTGTACTCTAAGTACTGTTATTATCATTATTAAAGCATTTCTTGTAATGACTCATCTTTGCTGCCAATGCTTCCAAGAGAAGATGACAGAGTATCTAAGGCACCACACACCTGATTAGATTTACTAAAATTTTGTGAAGCCCTTTGTGCTTTGTAAATATCCTCACACATCATTTCTCATTTGATCCTGATAAACTTAGTGCAGTAGGAAGGGAACGTGTTTCTACTGCCATTTTCCCAATGAGAATACTGAGAGCCAAGGGAGCTAAGCAATTTTCCAAAGTTGACTCATTTGGGATAAAAGTAGACTCCAGCCTGCTGATCAAAACTACCAAGCCAGTGTTCTTTACAGCCTGTTTGTTGTTCATTAAATAGGAGCTCATCCATGATTCTCTCATGATAGCAGGAACTCAACTAATCTCTCTTGATTACTTTCCAAAGCTAAGCATTAGAGTCAATTAACAAAGATACAGCGGATTTGGAAACTTACAAATTTGGTGCTCCCTGGTTTGTTTCTGAATTCATTAATGTCTAAACCTGGCATGAATGTTGGGGAGGTGACTTAGTAAAGCCTCACTAGTTCTGCAGATAGCTACAGATACAGGGAAAGCAAAACAGATATATGAAAATTGAGTTTTGCTCAAAATAAAAATGGGGAAATAATTTTTCGCCCCATGAAATTCATGAGCATTCTCTTAAATAATTAGCATTTAAAATCAATTTTATTCCCCAGAAGTTGAATTTATACTCGACTTTTCAAGGATACACCTGTGTACCTCTCAAGACTGCATAAAGTTTCCAAGGGAAGAAAATTTAAAAAATATATTTACAACCTCACTTCCCAAAGCAACACATTCCATGATGAGGTAAGAAGAAATATCTTTTGTCCAGAGTTATTGCCCAAACACTGTGGAACGTGCATACCCAGTGTTGAGACACATATAATAGACATTCATTACACTTTGGACAACTCACCCATAAAAACTGGTGGTACTTAAAAATATATATATGCATATATATATGTGTGTGTGTGTGTGTGTGTGTGTGTGTATATGTATTACTGCTTAGATCTATGTTAACCATATATGGGCTGATTTATTATTAACCGACTAATTTTCACCTTTCTGGATTGCATAATTTGAAAAAAATAAGATATTTTGTTGACTAGGAAAGATTAATTAAATAGCAGTATCCACTTCATTATTAAGAGGTTGAGACTGAATGTAGGTATTCTTTCTAATAAGAAAATTATGATGATAAGATTCCATTTAGTACCGTGCAACTGTAAGCATATCGCTTTAAAGATCTAGATTTGGTGTCATGATGTCTTGAATTCCAATGCCAACTGTGCCACTTACCAGCCCTATTAGGGGAAAATTTCCATGCTCTGAACCTTGTTTTCTTAATTTGTATGGTTCCTCCACACAGAGGAGAACTAGGACATTTAAAGATGTAACATGACAAATAGCATGGAGGACAAGGGGAGATGGAGAGGAGAAGGGAGTTGAGGGAAATTGGAAGGGGAAGTGAACCATGAGAGACTATGGACTCTGAAAAACAATCTGAGGGTTTTGAAGGGGCGGGGGGTGGGAGGTTGTGGGAACCAGGTGGTGGGTACTAGAGAGGGCACGGATTGCATGAAGCACTGGGTGTGGTGCAAGAACAATGAATACTGTTATGCTGAAAAGAAATAAAAAATTTAAAAAAAAATAAAGATGTAACATGTAATGAGTTAAGAAACAGGGTACCAACCAGACATATTACATGGGGTAATAAAACTTAACCATTACTACCAGCTACCTGTTGAAAAGAAACAAGTTATATTTTAAGATACAGGGTTCCCCCTATTCTTGAAAGTAGAGCATTCTATGAAACCTTTACTAACTGAAATGGTGTGAAGTTAAGAAATGATTGCCATTAATTTATATGGAACACTTTTTAGTATTCCCACCGCCCCCCCCAAAATCACCTCTCTTAGGCTTTCCTGATACCTTAGGACACATGTTGCTAATGATGCATGAAATAAGTCAAGGTAAAGCCCAGATGTCCATAGACACAGATCAGAACTCTGGCAGTTGATGCCGGACCGGGAGTGTGGGTCCTGGGGAAGGAGTTTGGTGGGGCGGCTGTGGTTGCTTGGGGGTACAGCTGCCTTTATCAGGGCCGCTGCCAAACCAACACTGAATCCTGTGTTCACTTTCGGGCTTTTCCCCATAAAAGTGAAAATTCTCTTCAGATGTCTTTCAGTTAGTGAGAGCAGGTACCAATGCAGGTCTTTCATAAAGGCAAAATGGCGTCATGCAAACTTACACACAAAAAATGACATAAGGAACAAACTGTACATATCTAGCACATAACACTCTATGTATGTACATACAGATGTACTGTACATGTGTCTTTGTGTGTGTAAACCCAGACAGGTAACTTTTCTCCTCCTCATTTCTAGATAAAATTCTTACCTTCAGGGCAGGGAATACATCTGCTGAAAGTTGCACTGCTGGTTGGAATTAGCATTGAGATTGATTCTGAAACCATTTCTACTTTTGGTTGATTCTAAACCCATTCCTACTTTTCCTAAGATGCAGTTCATCTGAACCCATGCTTATCACATAAAAAGTAACTATTTTTTAAAATTTAAAAATGAAACCATCAACTTGTACCACCTTGAGGTTGTAAGACCCTCATAATCTAGCTGGTAAAATTTGAGGGGTAAAAAAGAAGAAGGACGATGAAAGGAGAGGAACCATTTGCCACAGATATTGGATACACAGATCTTTTTATGAATATAGGCATTTCTTTCACTGCACTCCTAATAGTCATGTAATTTATATTTGAACATTTTTGGCAATTTGCTAACCCCATTAGCAAAATTTTCCTGATGGTGAACTAAAATAGGCTTCCTTCTAATTTCCACTCATTGTCCTTGTTCTGCTCTCTGCTGTTTATAACTCTGAGAGCTCTGGCCCAGAGACAAGCTGGAGCAGGCTCTGAATGGAAGTACGGGTCCGGGCAAGGAGAACTGTCCTCACTATGGCACTGACTACTGAGATGGATACCCAGTTTTTTGGCCTTTTTTTTTTTTTTTTTAAGATTTTATTTATTTATTTTTCAGAGAGAGAGAGAAAGAGCACAAGCAGGGGGAGCAGCAGGCAGAGGGAGAAGCAGGCTCCCTACTGAGCAGGGAGAGCCCAATGCAGGACTCAATCCTAGAACTCCAGGATCATGATCTGAGCCAAAGGCAGACACTTAACTGGCTGAGCCCTCCAAGCATCCCGAATATCCAATTTTATATGTTTCTAAACCTAGAGGGTATGCCTCATATCCAATGAATTCAAATTTTGTTG